GTCCTCGATGCTTGGGTGCCTTTCATCCTCTCTCCAGGTTCATAGGGTTTCCAGAGGCAAGCTATTATGGAAGTGGATGCCACTCCTCCTTTCACGCTTGTTTAATCAGAGAGCTCCACCCCACTCTCAGTCTGCACTGGGTAGCCAACCATTAATGCATTTGACACATCCGTGTCACAGTGTTCAGCCTTACAGCAACAAGTGACCGCAAGATGGCAACTTGTATGCCAGGGTTATCAAACAATATCATTGATAGCACATGAAACATGAAAGCAAGATTCCGTTGAAGATTTTCCAAAAATGACTGGAACAGCACATCAAAAGAGAATTGCCTAAAGTTCAGGCTCAGTATAGCATGGGCCAGGGTACTACAGATATTTTAGCTAATGTCAGATGGATCTTGGCTGAAAGCAGAGAGTACCAGAGAAATGTCTGTGTTTCATTGACTATGCAAAGGTATTTGACTGTGTGGATCACAACAAACTATGACTGACTCTGAGAAGAATGGGAATCCTAGAACACTTGATTGTGCTTATGTGAAAACTACCCTTGGACCAGGAGCCAGTCAGAACAGAGCAAGGAAATACTGCATGGTTCAAAATTGGGAAGGGTGTGTGCCAAGGATATGTTCTATCTCCATATATTTTCAGTCCATATGTGGAACAGATTATCCAGGAGGCTGGGCTCTTTGAGGAGAAATGTGACGTCAGGATTTTTGAAGTAGACTCATCAACAATCTGTGTTATACAGATGACACAGCTGTGCTTGCTGAAACTGAGGAAGACCTGAAGTGCTTCCTGCAGAAGGTCAAGGACTGCAGCCTTCAATATGGATTGAAGCTCCACATCAAGAAAACAAAGATTCCCACCAGTGGGCCGATTGGCAGCATTATGATAGATGGTGAAGACATTGAGATTGTTAACAGCTTTAGTTTCCTTGGCTCTACAGTCAACACTCTTGATACCAGCAGCCAGGAAAAGTACTGAAGAGCAATGATGTCATTCTGAAGACTAAGGTGTTTCTGATATAGGCTATTGTCTTTGCAGTTACTTGCTGTGCATCAGAAAGCTGGGCAGTGACTATGGATGATAGAAGGAGAATTGATGCCTTTGAGCTGTGGTGCTGGGGAAGAGTATTGAATATACCGTAGACTGCTAGGAAAACAAACAAGTTCGTCCTGTAGAGGGTGAAGCTAGGCTGCTCCTTGGAGGCAAAGATTCTGAAGCTTCGTCTGACATACTCTGGACGTGCTGCAAGGCGGGATCAGTCCTTGGGAGGGTGGAGGGAGACAGCACAAGAGAGGAAGACCGTCCATGAGATGGATTGATTCAGTGACTGGGGTCATGGGGATAGGTGTGTCGGAAACAGTAAGTTTGGTATGGGATAGAACAGAGTTTAGGGCTATTGTATGTAGGGTCACTATGAGTCACAGGCAACTCAACGACACATAACAATAACAACAAACTTGTAGTCAGCTTGGTGGCATCTAAGAACAGCAAAGCTGTATGTATGATCCATTTGTGAAGAATGAAAAATTAAAACATTTTAGAAAGGATAGTAAAAGACATTTCTTCAGCTTGACTCATTTGCAGAGGAGTTATTCTAGCGATTCAGAACATTTGCATTGAAATTACATGTTCTAATTACTCAGTTCTGTTGTACATGCCTTTGAGCTGTGGTGCTGGAGGAGAGTATTTAATGTACCATGGACTCCTAAGAGAACAAACAGATTCATCCTGGAGAGGGTTAAAGCAGGCTACTCCTTGGAGTCAAGGATTCTGGGGCTTCGTCTGACA